TAAATTTAACAAAGGGAATGAAACATTTGTACACTGAAAACTATACAGCATTGATAATTAAACTGAAGAATACATAAATAAGTAAAAACATATTCTGTGTTCATGGAAGAATTGATATTACTATAGTGTCTATGCTTACCCAGTGTGATATCCAAATTCAAAATAACATTCAAATTTAATGCAATTCCTATCAAAATTTCCAGGGCACTAGAAATATAAGTGATGGGTGAAATGAATTGTGCATTTTTTATTTTGAACATTAAGAACTACTCTTCATCGGGTTGTACTACTACTACTTAGCAGTAATGTATGAGTATACCAACCTACACACCTAATACTATTGTCGTATTTGGTTCTTTGTCATTCTGAATTGGCTTTTTAAATTCAATCTATTTTCTGTCCTCTTAATGACAAAGTGTGCTTAAATACAAAGTCACACTTTTTAATGGGGGCAAGATAACATTGACAAAGTGTGCTTAAATACAAAGTCACACTTTTTAATGGGGGCAAGATAACATTGTTAAGAAAAACATTTTATGATTTTAAAATTAAATACCGTGAAGCCGTTGTTCATTATTTAGGATTTAAAAAAACTTTTTCCTATTTTAAATTATTATTATTAGGGATAAAAATATGCTGAAATACATTTTTTCTAATAAACCGTTATAATATTATCTTACTCTTATATCTGTGCAATATTTCCTATTACATGTCTTGAACAAATGCCCACACAAAGATATGGTTATTTTTGACTGCATATATATATATAAGCTAATGAGCTAACTTCAAGTGGGACAGAAACTTGACCACTCTTCATTCATTGTTTGATTTTTATTTTATTCTATTTTCTCTAACCTAAAATACATTTCCAATCTAAATTTTATTCAGAAATTGAAGAGATTTCTGAGACTAAAAAGTGTGTTAAGATGCAATTCCAACACTTGCTTATAAAGACACCTTGTAACCTGAAAAATGCTTTGTATATCATTTAATATCCAAATTTTACTATGGCATTTTTGTGAGAAACAAAAGGAAATACTGTAAAATGTATCATTTATTTCAATAACGGAGTCTCTTTTGTTTAAAGTTGAAAAAATATATATATAAATATATAAATCCAAATATATAGAATTTTTAGTAGTAGAAGTCCCATTCTATGTTGGAGCAGACTTCATCTATTCCCTTTAAATGTAAAAGTTGACTATCATAGACCTTTTAGAAAAGTCTACACTAGGAAGATAAAAGCATCCTAATAAAATTCACTTATATAGTCCTTCACTTTAAAATATACTAAACATTTTCTTTCTAGAACATAAAGTCCATGAAGACAGGAATCTTTATCTCTTTTTTTGTTGCCAGGATTTGAACAGTGTGGAACAAACAATAAGTTCTCAACAAATATGTGAATAAATGAATAAATGTAAATTAATTTTAATTCCTATCAGACAGATTTATAATAATTGGTAGAAAGTATTTATATTCTTAATACATATTTTTAATCTTCTACTGGGTAAGAATTATATAAACAGTGGTATTAACATATACCCTATATGTGTTTTACAAACTAAACTAATGTTTCATAAGATTTAGTTTATTCATTAATGATGCATATGTTACATGACTGTCATCATTTATAATAATGTATGAATCTCCTGCAGCTTCAAGGTAACTAGTGATTTTGTTTATCCTTTCAATTATACAAGACACAGTTGCAGCTCAGTTTGCCGTGTGTGTGTGTGTGTGTGTGTGTGTGTGTGTGTGTGTGTGTGATTATTATTGACTAAATCTTTTGTCAGGAATGAAATGTAGAGGGATGTATGCAGCAACATGTACTCCCAAGGTAAATATGGCTGAAATTCCCTCAAACAATACTGAAAATGTCATGAGCATCTCATATTTTTCTGGTTCTCTAATATTTTTGTCTTCATAGGCATTGAGATAGTGCAACAACCATGAAACATTTTTAGAGTTTTGTGTTAACCTCTCAAGTGTTCTTTGGTATTCCAATGGTTTTTCCATTTTATTAATCCCTCTACCTTATAATTTAGCCATTCTTCATATAATTTGATCTCCCTAATACTTTGATTTTCTTTTAAAAAATACTTTATTGTGCCATTCATAATTTGAACCCAGTCTCCCTTTTCAGATTTCTCTCAGGGCATTTCTTTCATGTTCGCTATCTAGCCACACTCCCCACTCTGCACCATTGCACATATGTAGGCATGCTTTTGTCTACCAAGCATTCTAGGTACAATTTCTAAGGACTATTAACTTATCTAGACCTACAAAAACACAGAAGATGTCAAGAGAATATTGGCTACAGAGTTGTTTTTTAAAAGGAAAAATCAAAGTCAACATTTATCTAAATTTGTAAAAAAAATATTAATTTTATGCCAAATAGTCACCTGCAACTCAAATCCCCTCCATTCAGTGAGAGACTCAGATGCAGCTTAAAAGTTACTTGATGTGTGATGGAACTTGCAAACTAAGAAGCTCAGGCCAAGAATTTCATAAAGCCTCCATCTGTTTGATTATTTTATGCTGCTCTGATGATTTCACATTTTCCCCTCTGATCATAATTCTCTTTTTCTTCTTTGTAAACATTTCCACCCCCTCCAATCTCAAACATTGCAGACTGTAAAATGTTTTTTATATTTCTAAATAGCCAATCATTCCCACTGGAGTTTCACAGTTTACCTATCTATATGTAGTATCTCTGTGTCTATCATTTATATGTCTATCTTAATTTATCTTGTTATTCTATAATTATTAATTTTGCAGCTGCTATAGTTTACTAAACTGCAGGATTATCTATGAAGGGAACACAAAGTATGCCTAAGACATAATAGACTCATTACTTATTTACAGAATTAATCAATGACAATTTACTACTTTCTCTTTGACTAAGCCATTAGATACATCTGACTTACGCAGTGGAGAACTGAAGAAAATCTGTTTCGTAGTCAATTTACCTCTAAGTATGTGGTAGAATATATGGAAAACTGAGAGTAAACTGTCCAAAAATTAGGTTGTAGAATTTAAAGAAAATACCATATGAATGGCATCTTAATGCATTTTCATAGCCCCCGGGGAAAAATACTTGATAAGGCAAATAGTAGTTTAGAGGCAGAAGTGTTAACTATGCCTTGGACAGAGTATACCCTAATTGTTACCCAAGTAGTAGTAATAGTAGGAATAAATTTTCTTGTTGTTTTGCTATTTATTACTAAAAGTAACATGGTATGTTAAATAGAATTGGTAATAATATTTGTTAATTGTAGTTCACAATTATAGTAAATATAAATTATTTATTGAGCCTGTTTTTTTGCTGGGTATTATGATAATCAGTCTAAAAAGATAATGTCATTTTCTTTGATTTAATTATTCTGGCAGCACTGGGCACAGTTTTACAGCTGAATAAACGAAGATATAGAGACTTTAACTTAATTATACAAGGAAGGAGGAAAGGCAAGATTCCACTAGTGTTTCTAAATTCAAATCCTGCATGATTAACCACCTAAAATTGCTACACTAAGGACATGAAATCCTGTTTTTCTTCATCATTTCTTTAATCTTATTTTCTTCCTTTCTTCAATTCCACCTTAATTACTCCCACTTTTATTAAAATTGCTTATAAAATCATAAGTATTCACTCTATTCAGTGCTTGGATTTTTTTTTTTTTTCAGTAAAGGTGTCAGGTACTTTCAAAGTAATAACTGAACACTAGGAAGGAACCTGCTTGAAAGGCCTGTGGGACCAGTAGCAATAATGTGTACATGTCTAGTAATAGCCTTAGAAAAAGCGAACACTGGCTTGAACATGGGGAAATGGGACTGGGAGTGGCACAAGAGGTCACTGTTGCTGCTTCCTTGTCTGACATTTGGGAGGAGTTAATTACTGAGCAGCAGTTGTTTTCTCAGCAGACAGCCTCCAGAAAGCAAAGCTGGCAGGCCTGCTTTCCAATAATAGCCACTGATCCAGCCATTGTTTGGCACAATGAACCAAGCTCTCCGCTCCGGGAAATGTTTCATTGTATTATCTGGGATTTCTTCCAGCATGGATCCCATCAGAGAGAATGGCTTTATCACATTATTTTTGACTGACTGGAGTAAGACTACAGGTTTTGCTTTTCTAAAAATCATTTTGCAGCAAATCAGCTTTGATTATGGATAGAATTTACAAAGCTATTTATCCTTCATCTCATTCCCCAGTCTCAGGAACTCCAGAGTGAAATCCAGTATGATATCAGATTATGTGGTATCTCTTAACTTCCAGCTTCCAAACCTGTCTGAAGATTTAGGAAAAAAATAATAATAATAATGAAGATTCATTCATGTTGTTTCACTTAAAAGTGAACCTATTCCAACTGGCCTCTGTCTCAGTCCTAGGAAAGCCAATACAGTGTTAAAATACGATCAACAAATTTCACATTATGTTTCTAAAAGTGAGTTACAGCTTATATTAATGGCTTCTTGTGATATGTAATTTTTGGAGGAAAACAAACATTTTTGTAAGTAACCAACAAGGAGAGTAAAAAAAATCAGCTATAATAATAACAACAATAATAACAAAAGCATAATGGTTATCCCTTATTTAATACTCACTATATATCAAGCTGTGCTAAGCCCTTTAAACACATTTTCTAAAATTATCTTCAAATAACCCTAAGAGGTAAGAAATATCATTTCAGTTTTTGTTTAAAACCCACATTCAGAGCTTTGAGTTAATTATAGCCTTCAGTTCTTACTACCCTATCATGATTGGCCTGTAACCACAAATTTCTCTGTTTCATTAGCTATGTGTATTTAATACGTTTCTCCTTTCCAGTCCCCATGTTCATTCTTTTCTTTCTCAAGGGCAAATTAGCACTTTAATGTCTTAATGTATGTCCCTGGATGTGCACATATTTACATATCTTTGCTAAATACACAGAGCTTTGTAAGTTTTTGCTTTCTATAACTGCTATTGTGCTATAGATTTTTCTTTTCTATTTTTTCAGCACTACACTTAACCATCTACTTATGGTACTGAATGAATATCGATTTTATTGTTTCCAACCACTGAATGGTATGATGATCTACCATATGAGCACCCACTTGCATGAAAGGTAATTTTGGCTGGTGTGCTGAATAGAGGAGAACCAGGGAAACAAACAAACAAAAAAAGCGCACTGAAATATTTCAAGTTACAAAGAAACATTATTTGTACCTTACTGGCTTTTCAGTGAAAATCATAAAAATAGGCCATAATCTGCATATGTTTTGAGTGATTTCATGATTGGACAGCTACATATGAGAGACAAAAACAGCAATTAAAGGTGATGCCTGGGTGCTGGAGCTGAGCATATAAAAGAATGGAGTAGTCATCAGATGAGGTGGAGACAGTCGCAGATGAAGCAGGTTTCGTGGATTCACTAGGGGTGCTACCGGGGCAATGTGAAATCTGAGGCACTTTTTAAGTATACACATGGAGATGGGGAGTGGGCAGTTGATGTCTGATGTTCAAGTGTGAAATTCAGGAGAGAAGTCTTAGCTGAACCTAGGCATTTTGGAGTCACTGATCTATTGAACGCACCTACAGTGAGGTGTGTTCAATAACTGAGAAGTACCTAGGACAGAATCCTGAGATACTTCAACATTAAAAAGTGGTACAAATCAAGAGATTCCAGTAAAAAACACAGTGTCAAGTGAATTAGGATAAAAACATAATGTCAAGTAAAGAAAAAACTTTTAAAAGGAGATGGTGATTCACCATGCCAAATATTTCTTATAGGTTAACAAGCAGAGAGCTTAAAATTGTCCATTGGGTTTGTCGTAATGCAGATCATCCATGATTAAGAGAAGATGAGCTTTAGTGCAGTGATAGCAAGGAAGTCTGATCATAGAGTTGTAAGAGGGAATGAGACTAGAGGAAACTACTTAAAAATTGTGATTTCCAGTATGTTAATCACTCTGCATTTGTGATAGCTGGGAGTAGAGTAACATACGTGTCCATTATTAGAGCATATGTGCATATTGTAAACCATCCTTACATTTCTGGCGTAAGTCTTCAATATTTTAATATGTTTTTTAATATAGTTAGTATTTTATTTGGGTTTCTCAAATTTATGTTCTTGAACAAATTGAGCCTATGTTTTCTTTTGTCTCATATTTTATTTACTAATTTTAGAATCAAGGTTATGGCTGGCCAAGGTGACTTACGCCTATAATTCCAACACTTTGGGATGCCAAGGCTGGGGGATCACGAGGTCAGGAGTTCGAGACCAGCCTGGCCAATATAGTGAAACCCTGTCTTTACTAAAAATACAAAAATTAGCAAGGCGTGGTAGCGGGTGCCTGTAGTCTCAGCTACTCGGAAGGCTGAGGCAGAAGAATTGCTTGAACTTGGGAGATGGAGGTTGCAGTGAGCCGAGATCATACCACTGCACTCGAACCTCAGTGACAGAGCAAGACTCCATCTAAAAAAAAAAAAAAAAAAAAAAAAAGGTTATTTTATTTTAGTCATAACATGAGTTAGTGGTTTTCCATCTCTTTCAATTTTCTGCAGCAAAAATTGAACATTTGGTAGAACTTAACTGTAAAATCATTGGGTCCTTGGTTCTGTGAGGGCAAGTTATTGGTTGCCATCTTGGTATCTTTATGGTTAGTGTTGGAGAGCACATTTTTGCTGCCTCTGAGATCTCCTTTGATCCCTTTTTGCAGCATCCATGTTCTCCTCCACCTATATCCTGTATGAATTGCTGCTAACTGCTTGTAATTGAGACTTAAGAGATGATCGCCTTGGGTCAGAAAGTCTATTTGAAGTCTTAAGACAAGAGACTATTCAGATTCTTTATTTCTTCATGCATCCATTTTCAGATTTTATACTATTCCAGAAATTTAGGAATTGTTGCCTTCTCCTTTCTAAGAAATGTGCCTTATAAGTAATCGGTAAACATGATTGTGTGTGTTTGTGTGCATGTACACATGTGCATGCACTTCAGAGGTTGACTAGTGAGCTCACTGGTCAGAAGTCTGCCTGTAAATCCTCATAACTGCTTGAAGCATCAGATCTTTTCCCTGCTGGAGAAAAGCTCCCCTAAGATTCACATTAATTTTTGTTGATAAAGACTTAGAGAGGTTTAAGAATGACAGACAGGAAGCCTGATAGATGAAAGAAATTAGAAGATAGTTTTTCAAGCAGTTCTCATCTTGTGAAGACTATTTTTCATGTAGAAAAGAGAAGAGTCTATACTATTTCTCCATCTCTCCATGCAAAGGACATCAGGCAGTATTTACCCATTTGAACTCTAGTTTTTATCCCCATTACTACCAAAAGGATATTGCTCCAGACATTCCCTACTCTTTTTCTTGTACGTCATCAATTATTTTTCTGACATTAGATCATCCAAGATGTACAAATATACAGTTATTTTTTCTAAATTAAAAAAGAATGTATTCCTCGACCAATCTTGGCATGTCAGTTGCCTTCACATACCTCTCTTCACATTTTCTACTAAACCATCCATGTGTCTTCAGTTCCTCAACACTCTTTCTCTCCTACACATCTCCAATCAGGCTTTCATTGCTACCAGTTCACTAAAGTTCATCATATCAAGGCCATAAATGATCTGCACTTTGACAAATCCAATGGTTATTTTAAACTCTCAGCCTGTTAACCTATAATAAACATTTGGCATGGTGTATCACTATCTCCTTTTTAAAAAAATAATTATTTTCTTTACTTGGCATTATGTTGTTTTTCCTAATTCACTTGTCATTCTGTCTGTTTTACTGGAATTTCTTGGTTTGTATCACTTTTTAATGTTGAAGTGTCATAGGATTGCGTCCTAGGTACTTCTCAGTTATTGAACATACCTCACTCTCCTGCAAGTCTCATGCATTTCAGTTCTTTAAATACCATTCATAGGTCAGTGACTCCAAAATACCTATGTCCAGCTCAGATCTCTCTCCTGAACGCCACAGTTGAACATCCAGCTGCCTACTCCTGATCTCTAAGTGGCTACCTGAAAAGTACCTCAAATTTAACATTGCCCTGATAGCACCCCCAGCGATACCAACAAAGCTGGTACATCTGCTATTGTCTCCACCTCATCTGATGACTACTCCATCCTGTTACATGCTCAGTCCAAGTACCCTGGCATCGTCTTTAACTCATCTTTTTGTCTCTTATATGTAACTAGCCCACTATGAAATCTCTCAAAATATTTTTAAAATCTGAGCCAAATTTATCATTTTCACTGCAAAGCCAGTAAGGTACAAATGATGCTCCTTTGTCACTTGAAATATTTTAGTGAGCTTTTAATTGGCTTCCCTGTTTCTCCTCTACTCAACACATCAGACAGAATAACCTTTTATACAAGTAGGTGCTCACTTTAGTCATCTCTTCAACAATCAGTTATCTGTCCCCTTTTCACTCTTGGTAAAAGCTACAGTCCTCTCATGCATACAGGATCGTATGCATTTTTACCCCTATTTCTTTTTCAGGAACTCTAGCCTCCTTTCCATTACATGAACATATTTGGCTACTCTGTTGCTTTATGCCTTTTTTTTTTTTAATGGGAACATGCTGCCAACTAGATAGCCACATGACTAAATATCTATCATCACTTCCTTCAAGTCTTTGCTCAGATATAATCTTCTCATCGACACTGACTCTGATTTCTTGATTTAAAATCAAATATTTCCACTTCTACTAGTAGAACACCCTATTAAACTTACCTGGATCCTTTTTTTCCCCACATAACATTTGTAAGCTTCTAACATTAAAAGTAACTTTCTTGCTTATTGTGTCTGTTTGTATTGTCTGTGTACCACTGCTGGAATTAGGAGCTCCATAATGGCATGGAATTCTCAGTATGTTCTGTCTGCAGAGGTTTTCGGATAGTGTGGAAAATACTTGGCTTATGGTAGATGTACATTAAATATCCGTTATATAAATAAAATTTCTTAAACATTTAGTTATACTTTCTAAATTCTGAAATTACATATTTTATTTGAAGTGCATATCATTTTAATAGAAATACAAATTATGTTAAAACACCTTTTGTAATTAATTACATATTAATTCCCAAAGACACTCACTATATGTTATTGAGCTTAGAACATTGCAAAAAATTATACAGAGGCAACTTCCATTTAAATTTGAGGTAAATAAATAAGTGATTTAAGTTAGAAAAGGCAAAGAGTGAAAATATGACACATATGAGTGGTGTTAAAAGACATGTATTTAAAACCAAAGGAGTTTTTCCTAGATAAAGATTACTCCTTTATATTATGACAGCATACTACATATTATCTTTAATTACAGGAAATTACATGATTTCATATATGTGTGTGTGTATATATATATGTATATGTGTGTGTAGATACATGCATATTCATTAATGAGATACATATCACTCTATAGAAAATACAGAATTCATCCACAGAATTCATCCACATATTTGGTAGGTAATTCCAAAACATCACTTTTCTATCTGTATGATTTATATTTTATGCCTCAATTCCAAAATAATGCAGTAATGTAATCTTTTTTGTTGGTTGTTTATTCATGTATGCTAAGTTCAAATTCAGAACATATTTCTGAACATTTCTGTTTAATTAAGTACCATTTCCTAAAGGTCAGCTATAAGCTAATTAGGTGGAAGAAGATTTGTAGTTCATAAATGATCTCATATGACTTCAGATATATTTGATGATATTTGGTTCACTTAGATAACTAGGTATATCAGCGTGCGGACTAAATATAAATATGTAGACTTCTTTAGGCTTTTATTTAGGTTTAGGTATGTCTGATAGTACTTTTTATTATAGATATTATTTATATAAAATTATTCTTGTATTAAAATACACAAATTAAGCATCTATATTTTTATACATTCAAATGTTAAACATGTTAGTCCTTTATGCATTCCTACTAAAGATATAATTATGGCATTCACCAGATATTTGCCATTAGAAATAGGATATACGGAATATCCCCAACTATCTTCTTTGAGGTATATTATACTTTTGGGGCTCGAGTTCTAACTCATATATTCATATTATATGAGAGCCAAGACTCCCCACTTATAGTCTGATCACTACATTACATATATAAAACTTTGACAGAAAAAGAACGTTTGGTCATAATATACCTTATACTCATCAGATTATAATAAGTAAAATTATCCTAGTCATGCTCAGAAACAGTGCCATTGAAAAACCCTAAGTGCTGTCACAGGATAATAGCACTTTCTATCATGAAATTAACAGAGCATCTGGACCTCATCAATCACAATATCTATGGTCACTTTGCTGATGTGCAACTTGTTCTTTACCATCATGGGTTGCTATGCTCATTTGGTTAATAATGTTGGCATCTGCTATAGGCTTACTGGTATGTTCTTATCTAGATTCTGCACTTGCCAGAGAATTGGGACTAGGATAGCTCTTCCTAGATATTCCAATATCCCAAGAAGAAAATGTGGGGGATATTCTTACTAATCTATAAATTTAAACATATTTTGTCTATATTAAAATCTTAGTAATTGTTCTTTTTTATTAGCATCCACAGATTACAGTGTGACACAACCATCCAGCAACTTTAACTTTCTAGAGTTAGGCTGTATCCATTTAAATTTCTGTTTTCAGAGACAACCTGAAAAAAGTGATTATTTTCAACATAAAAGTGATAAACTTCTTCTATCTGGGGTTTAACTTTGGAAAGAACTTGAATAATGGTCATTGGTTCTAAAACTGGTTTGTTAATGTTATTTATAACATATAAATTAGAAGAAAATCCTCTTGAACCTCAAACAGACAAAGCAATACTGAGCAAAAAGAGCAGAAATGGGGCATCATACTATCTGACATTGAAATATACTACAAAACTGTTGTAACCCAAAACAGCACGGTATTGCTGTAAAAACAGACACTTAGACCAATAGAGAATAGAGAACCTAAGCAAAGGTTCTGAGAACATACATTGCGGAAAGAACACCCTCTATAATAAATGGTGCAGTGAAAACTGAGTCTCAATGGGCACAAAGAAGGAAGCTAGATCCATATCTCTCATCATATCAAAAATCAA